CATTCAGAGGGCGTAAACTCCAGTGTGGCATATAAAGTATACCAATGGATGAGATCTGAGGTTTGATTTTAATTTGGTCCTATTTGTAGCCACGAAGCAGTGCTCTTTTCCTTGATGCCGACTACAGGGAAACAGAATTCTTGCCTGTGGAATATTGTCACCCAAGCTGTGGTCTAAGCACTACTACAGCCAGAGTCAGAGATTGGGTTTCTAGTGCAGGTACAGAAATGCTCAGAAATGTGCAGCATGAGTATCTCCATGCAACTCCCAACAGAAAGAGCCCCTTAGCAATGGGACAGACTTTAGAGGTAGATTTTCTCTACAATTTAAGTGGCCTCTTATTGCTCTCATGGGAATCCAAATTCTCACTGCTGCTTGTTCTTGATTAATATTTATGTATCTATGGTAATATTTCTCTGCACCTTAGCTGCACCTGTAGAATTTTAGTATGAAGCTTAGTTCAAGTTCCTTTCTACTCTCACATTTGATGTCTGTCTGTGACATGTACATGAAAGAAATCATCAAGTGTCCATAAAGAGTACAGATAAAGAAAGCCATGAAGTCAAGTAATATTTGACTCTTCCACCTTAAGATAAATGTGTTTCTATAAAAGTTAAACAAAAGTGATAGACATGCCGTATATTTCCCCAGGATACATAAGCACAGGATGAAAATGGTATAAAAAATGAAGTAAGTTATCCCCAAACTGAAAGACATTTTGCTTTTCTCTTCCTATGTCACAAATTACTGAACAAATCCTGTTTGAAGATCGTGGATTACAAGAAGCCTATTAGTTCCCTGGCTTCTTCAAACATCAATTTCTTACATGATAACACTTGGCATCTTATGATCATTTAAGAACAACAAGATACATGGTTTTGAATTATCTTAGAAGTTTAAGTGGTGCTTATGTTAACTGAGATAATCTAAAGCTATTTATTTCAACTGTAATTTTAGGTTTTGTGCTGTATTTTAATTGTCTTCTCTTTTCTTATCACCAGAGATAAGAATTTAGATTGTTTATTAAAGTTTTGAAAAAAATATGACTAAGACTGTCTCATAGAATGTTTTATGCTGGGGGCAGTAGATGACTATAAGATACAAAAAACAAGCTTTATGAATGTGTATATATACATTGCCTCATTCTTAATAAAATAGGGAAGAAATATGACAACTAGTACAAAGCTTGTTTCTGCAACTGGTCACACAGTCATAGCTGGTATTTATAACTACCTTTTTCTACTAGCCATTATGTATTTTCTTGGCCTTCAGCAAGTACTTCAATAGATCTTGGCTCTTTACTTGTTGAAGTGACTCACACTTTCGTTCCTAAAGTGTCTGAGTCATTTATCATCTGGCCTGGATTGGGTGGTGTAGTTTCTTGTTGACATAAGAGATCTCCTTCATTCCCAAACATACTCTTCTTTTTCTCTATTATGGAGTAGTAGTCAAATTTCCCCTTGGTAGTCAGGATCAATCACCTCTGCCAGCACCATAACTCCCTTTGGGGGAGGTCTTAGCTTTCAGTTTAATGGAGTCACTGTTGTGTCTCCTGGTAGAAAGCCCCCCCAAACAGCCCGAATTAAGACTTCTTACTCACACATCACTAGGGGTAATGGTACCATTTCTGTTTCAACCCCTTGGTTCCCAGATCCATGGTTCCTGGCTATGGGAAAAACAGTACATATATTGGATGCTGAATCAAGGCACATAGTGCCTTCTAGAGAACCTTGTTCCAGCCCTACAAGGTATTGACACCTAGATGGCACTGTACTGAATCTTCAAAGGACCATTGTAACATTCTATCAATCCATTTGTTTCTGGATGGTGGATAACATGGTAAGATTCGTGAATTCCATGAGCACGAGCCCATTGCCACTGTGTGTGTGGCTGTGAAATGCATTCTTTGGTCAGAAGTAATCTGTTGTGGAATACCATGACAGTGAATAAGATATTTTATAATTCTATAGATGGTAGTTTTGACAGAAGTGTTATATACAGGGAGGGCAGCCCCATATATAGAATATCTATTGCAGTAAAGATGAAGCACTATCCTTTTCATGGTGGAAATGGTGCCATATCAGGAGCTCAGTGTTGTTCTCTACTTAGAGGGCCTGTTACGGGTTGTATGTAGATGACTTCCCCCCCGCCCAAAAGCCTCATGTGATCATAAGTGGGGCTTTTCAGAGGTGGCTGGATCTGGAGTGTGTCATGTTTGGATCAAGGGTGTGTGATTACTAAATTAGTCCACTGATTGGTTGGCATAGTCCTGGGCATGGATAATAGGAAGGCCCACCCTGGATGTGAATACTACCTGCCCTAAGGGCATGTAGCTTGGATAGAATATAAGGGACAGAAATAGGGATGTTGTTGCCACTTGCTGATTTGCTACTTTGCTGCTTGCTGCCTTGCTACCTCTGCCTGCCATTAATTGTTTATCCTCTGCCATGCCACCCTGCCTTGGAGCCAGCCAACTATGGACTGAAACCTCCAAAAATGGTTAGCTACAAAATAAACCTTTCCTCCTTTAACTTTGAGTGTTGGGTATTTTGTCTCAACAATGAGAAAGGTAACTAAGGCAGGGCCCATATCAAGAAATTCAGCCAGATCCAGTTTTATGTTCTTTCCACCATTATCCCACACCCTTAAAATCTTTTCTGATACCTGTTCCTCATATCTCTGCTTATTAGAATTGGAAAATACAAGTTCTTTGTAAGTGTAGTATACCTCTTCATGGGCCATGCTATGTATCCCTACCTCTAGGGGCCTTCTGAGATTTGAGCTTGGTTATAGGTCTACAGGAAAAGGTAGGTCCTAGGGAGTATCAGCACTGTTTTTCTTGGTAACTGCATCAGGGAAGGTCACTACTGCTTTCATAGGCAAAGCAGGGTTAGTTTCCTCAGTCAGATGTTCAAAGGCTTACGGGTGGCAGGGGTATGGGGGTAAGGTAGGGATGGCTCTATCACTGAGTGTGGGGAGGCCACTTCCTCTGGTAAAATAAACTCATCAGAATTTAGGAGTTCAATGTCCTCAGCCTCATCAGAGTCCCCCCAAACATCTCCATCCCAATTTATATGATCCTATTTTTTTTTTATCAGTGCCCTCAATTTAACTGCACATATCCTTCAAGGCTGAGTGTTGAACTTGTGCCATAATCCATCCAATTGTATAATAAGGACTTGCATTTGTTTTTTGTCCATTTCAACTCTATGGCTGTAATAGAGAAGATTTTCCTTCAGGACAGACTTTAGAACAACTTTAGGTTGTTTATGCATGTCTGGGGCTTGAAAGTGAGTCTTTGAGCTCATTTTTCCCTGTATTACTGCCCAGAGATCCTAAGAGCAACCAGCTAACATCATTATATTTTTGTCTTCCAAAAATGTGCAGAAGTATTATGTATAGAGTTGCAAGTGCACTTCACAAGTGGAGAATTAGGAGTATCAAATGGATCTATGTTCTATATATCTTTAAATAGTTCCTACCATGGTCTATCACTACATTACCAGAGGAGATATTATGGTAATTTTAGGTTTCATCATAGAAAGTCAAGTTCAGGAAATACTAAATCAATTAGGGAAATTCATCCATATAATTCTTTTCCTCTAGAACCACATCTATGGTTTAGAACTAACCCCCCCCCCCCAACCATCTCATGTTTTGGGAAGGTGATTGGATTATGGGTATGCTGTACTCATCAGTAGATTTATCTGTTGATGAGATCAGTAGCTAAATATGGTATTAGGAAGTGAGACCTGGTTGGAGGACTAATTCATCTAGCAGAGGAAATTTCAAAGCATCCCAATGTTCAGGCTGTGGCATGATTACTGCTAGCTGCTTTTAGCAAGATCTACAGTGAGAATCAGGGGATGGATTTTTAATTTATCAGGAAGGAAGTGCCTACAAAGCTGTTGGTAAGAGAGCGTGGTTGCTGAAAAGTTATCACTGAAAAGAAGCTAAGTATTTTCCATCAAGACAATAGGAAAGAGGGGTTGAAGGCATTCAGGAATCAGGAAGACTTCACAAATCACAGGCTCAGGGGTGGAAAACTGTAATGCTTTTCCATTAAAAAGAGAGTCCCTGGGATGCCTGCTCAAGAACAACTACCTGGGAAATTGGTTGGCTGGGATTCATTTTGTCATGGTTGCCATCTAGCCATTCAGAGGCTGCCACAGTCGGGATCCAATCAGACCCAGCTACCACTCAAGTTGGTGGAATACCTTGGCATCATCATGGTGCTAGTTTTACAAGAATGCAAGAGTCATGGGGTTATGGAGGCCTCCTCCCAGATTTCAGAATAAGGCCTGGAAGAGTAGCCAAAAGTGTGTGATAGAGTCACAGTCCCTACCAGAAGCCCATGAGAGGGGAGTATGTGAAACTAAGAGTGAAGCTGAAAGTGCAGTGGAGAACCCAAGAAGCTGGAGATATCAGGAACATGGATCATCTGCTGAGGAAAGCCACAGGATGAATGAAGCAAGCCCAAGAGAGAGACCATGTAGGGGCAACCAGCAAGGCCAGAGGAGCAGGGCTGCCCAACCTTTTTGGAGTTCACATCTCACCAACACCTGTCCAAAGTGGTGGATATGGAGCTACAAGATTTAATGTTTGCCCTTACAGGACCAGACTTGCCTTAGTCCTATTTCTTTCTGTTTCTATTTTTCCTTTTTGAAATGGGAAGGTTTATCCTATGTCAATGTATGTTGGAAGTGTCTGACTTTCTTTCTGATTTTTATAGGGGCTCAATATAAAAGAGTTTGCCTTGAGTCTCAGAGAAGACTTTGGAGTTTTCAGCAATGCTGGAACTGTTAAGACTTAGACAATTCTTAGAGATGGGTTAAATGTGTTTTAAATAATGCAATGGTCTTTTGGACACCACAAGCAGAATGTTACATTTTAGATCTAAAATGTCCCCCCAAAGTTTCATGTATTTGGAGGATGATTGGTTTGTTGAGGTGCTATACTTATCAATGGATCATCTGTTAATAAGTTCAATAGCTGAGTGTGCTGTTAGGAGGTGAGACCTGGTTGGGGTTGGGTCACTGAGGGCCTGACAGGGTAAAGTGTATTCTTATTCTTGGCTCTTCCCTTCTCTCTCTGCTTTCTGGCTGTAGTACATGAGTTGAGTACCTTTTTCTCTGCCATGCCCTTCTGCCATCCTGCTTCTGTCTTTGTGCCAGCTAGTTGACTATGGACAGAAACCATAAGCCAAAAGTAAATCTCCTTTAAGTTGTGGGTTTTGGGTATTTTGTTTATTAGGTAGGGTTACATGATCTGAGGTGATAGGGTCCACAATGGCTATCTGCACACTGTCAAGCCAGAGGCCCTTCTAGTATTTGCTCAGTCCAAGAAGCTAGAAGCTGTGGAACAAGAGGGATAAAGGATGGAACACCAGACAGTTCAGGACTGAAGGTTTGGGAGCTCTGTGGAGCATTGCTGGTATGAATCCACAATGTAAAGCTGAAGAAGCTGGAGTCTGATTTCCAAAGGCATTGGTAGTAACAAAAACACACTCATTCAAGCAGAATGGAGCTTTTCAAATGCAGGCCAATTTCTTTCTTCTTCCTTTTCCTTCCACCCAGACTATAAGCTTATTGGATGGTGCCACCCAAAATTAGGGTGGATTTTCTCCATCAGTTTGCTGGCCCAAATGCCAATAATCTCTGTACACTTCCACCGACATAACCAGAAATGTTCTTTACTAATTTACTAAGCATTTTCTAATACAATCAAGTTGACATTCAGCATTAACTATCACAGGGAGGAGGTATTTGACTGGAACAGCTCATGTTTTTAGCTAAGGAGGTAGAGGAGTGTTCTAGATCCACCTTTACAGATCTGTCTGAAGCACAGTTTATGGAGTTATTTCTTGGGAGTTTCTAACTTTCTATAAGACAGTGGAGACAAAGGGCTAGAGAAGAAGCTTTGAGGGAAGAGTAAAGTTTTAGCATCTGAAGAGAATGGGAGGAAGAACTGCTCCAAAACAAGCAAAAAGAAGTCACAAGTGTTGTTGGAGGCCCAGCCGAGGCTTTATGCTGTAAATCATGGTAGCTTATAAGCAGAGGGATTGTTCTCAGCAGCACAGTGTAGAGCAGTTTAACTGCCAGGAAAGCATATGAAATGGAAGGTGCTGACAAGAGAACTGACAATGAGACTTAATAATGAAGAAAATTGTGATCAATAGGGTATTGGTAACTTCAGAGATGTTTTAGGTCTGTATCTGAAAGAGTCTCATGGGAGCTTTAAAATTTTATCAAGAACTACATAGGCAGGGTCTGTAATTTTACTACACTTAAAAGCTATTTAAGTTAACCTGCTGCAGGATGCAGGCAGAAGACCTGAGATTTCTGGGACAGGAAAAATATTTAATTCTTATAGCAAAAACAGTTGCTAAAGCTTTGTGTTCATTTGTGGTGCTACAGAAGTGTCTTAGTTACTTTCTTGTTGCTGGGACAAAATGCCTAACACACAAAGCTAAAGGAGAAAAGGTTTATTTTAGCTCACAGTTTATAGAGGTTTCACTCCATAGTTGCCTGGCTCCAAGACAAGTGGCATGGTGGTGGGGCATGGCAGAGAAGAAATAGTCTATGATGTGGCAGACAGGAAGCACCTAGCAGTGGGCCTTCCTTTCACTTTTACTTCATTCAGGCTACAAGGCTTTGTTGGTGCCACACACACTCGGGGTGGGCCCTCCCATAATCCATACCCAGAGCTATGCTAAACCAATCAGTAGACTGATCCAGTTATCACATTCATAATCCAGTATCACACACCCATGATTCAGCCACCTCCCCAAAGCCCCATCTATGAGTGAACCCTTCTACGGGTTCAGGGGAACATCTAGTTATAAGCCATAACAATAAGTTCTATAACACATGCTTGCACACACACTGGTTTGAGTTATAGGCGGGGACAGTTATCTCACAGAGGCATTACTTTATAGTAAATATAGTAGAAGTCTGGACTTTGTCCAAGGGGAGTTATTACCTTATTCTTCACGTACTTGCTGTGAACACAACCCAGAGAAATGGCCTTTCGAAAGGACAGTCAGAACTTTTGCATTCTTTTTTTTTGGTACTGGAATCGAACTCGCGACTTTGCGCTTGCGTGGCAGGAGGAGGAACCACTGAGCTAAATCCCCAGCCCAGAACTTTGCATTCTTGGTAAACACAGCAAAAAGAAACAGGGATGCTTATGGGCCTATGGAAGATTGCCTCATCTGTAAGCATGGTGTTTAGAAGATACTTGGTCCTCACCAAATGTTAACCATAACTGATAATCAGGTTGACATTCATAATGAAATGGAATTCTATTTAAAATTCAGGGGATATAAATGAAGAAGTTGAAAATCCATGATCAGCGGTAATCATATTTTACTGATAACAGATTTGATATTAAGCGCCAGCAAAATTAAAACTCTGGAGAAGCTGACTTATTTGGAGATGAAATAAAAAAACTGGAAGTTTGGATAAATTTGTTCTAGAAAATAATTCTTTTTACTATTATGGTTTAGACAAAAAATGTCCCCTCAGATGTTGCATGTGTTTAGAGGTAGGGATTTTGCAAATGATTGGATCCTGGGGGGACTACATTCATGAATGTATTCATCCACTGATGAGTTCAGTAGCTGAATATGCTATTATGAGGTTGGGCCTGATTGGAGGTCCACCACCAGAGGCATGATCTGGAAGGGTGTATTACTGTCCCTGGTTCCTTCTTTCTTTCTTTGCCACCTGTCTGCCATGGGGTTATCAGCTGTCCTCTGCAATGCCCTTCTACTCTGCTGTTTCTGCCTTTGAACCAGCCAGCCATGGACTGAACCCACTGAAACTGTGAGCAAAGTAATCTTCTCCTATTTTAAATTGCAGGTGCCCTGTATTTTATCCCAGCAATGGGAAAGTAACTAATAGAGTATCAAGTATCATGCATGTGTAAAAAAGTTAACATATAATATATGAAAAGGCTAAAAAATCATAATCACACATCTGCAGACATAATGGGTATGTATGAATTGCAAAGAAAGAAATACACTTGTGTATTGAAGGTTAATCTTATATCATATACTACTTACCTAAAAGTTGAAATGGATACCACTGGATATAAAAAAACTGGGAGAAAAAATTCCAGAATGTTTCCAAATTAAGAGAATGGAAAACAATTTCTCCCAAGACAACTAACAGTAGATCCTTTCTAACCTAATTTGAAGGTAAGGACACACATAACACTTTTAAACACAACTTCCAGCTCTTTCTCTTCTATTTTTCTCTATAACCTCACAAAGATTCTAGGAATATTCTGTAGCCCCCATTCTGATAAACTTGTCTCATGTGTATTTATTTCTTCCCTTTACTCTCCAATGTCAAAATCTTTATCACAATGAAAAGGCATTTCCAACCAGAAAGAAGAAGTTTGGCTTATAACTGAATATTCAATGAAACCATTATGCTCTCTGTGGTCTGATATTAATCTTAATTGAGAGGCTACTTTCTCAGGCTCTCTTGATGAGAACATGAGCTTTTCAGGGTACAGGGAAACGTCTTGGTTAACACAATAAGATTATTCCTCTTTCAGTTCTCCCCCACCCAGAACAAATATTCAGTGAGCATAAGCATGAGCCATAATTTTTGATCTACAGTTACTCAGAGTTGTTATTTTATCCTCCAATGTTGAAAATCTTTTTTTTTCTTCCTGTGTTGGGTATGGAACCTGGGGCCTGTGTACACTAAACAAGTGCTCTATCATTGAGCTAATCCCCATGGCAAAAATCATTTTTAAAAAACAAAACCAAGCACAAAAACAAAAAAGGATTGAGACTAAGTCCACATGAATGGGTGGCTCTGTGGTACAACTGTCCCCTTGGATTATAATTCTGGTGAGTGAGCTTTTGCTACAGTGATTTCTTTCTCAGTTAGACAGGTAGATCCATTTTAAATCTGGTGTGTGAAGGAATTGAGACAGCTGACTTCAATCAACTGGATTTGCTGGCTCGGTAGGCATTGGTTGTTGGTGTGGTTAAATCCCATAGGCTTGAAAGCTCAGAGCTGTTTTACCAGCTTTTTCTTCAGGTGGATCCCAGGCTCCTGAGAACCAAGAGACCAGATTCAGCACCATTCCTTATAAGTTATAAAGAGGAGAGAAGAAATGGAAGGGAGTGTGATTCTGATTGTATTAGTAAAATAACCTTTGTTTCATGATAAAAGTTAATCTATGGGACTTTATAATCTAACATATACATTATAATAGAAATTCATTTTAAGAAGTTTCAACTCTATTAATTTATGTAAATGTCGCTATTTGAGCCCTTTGAAAATATATGATCTCCACCCCAACTACAGTATTTCTCCCCAAAATATTATTTTCACCAACAGGCAGTCAGGTGGCAAAAACTTTTGCTAACTAGATTAATTTCTTTGGTTTTTCCAAAGATAAGCCAACTGTCTTATTGAGGGAGTAAATTATTGAAGAGTTAAACCAAACATGGAGCTCCCTCTCTTCGTCTCCTGTTTTACTGAATATAAATATATATCATACAGTCAAGATAAAAAAAAGTCTCTGTCCTTGTCTTACAGTTTAAATAATCAGGATGAATTAATTGCAAAATGCTACTCTACACCATTGATATGAAAATCGCTAAAATAAAGCTTAAAAGTAAAGGACATTCTAAGAGTGAAGACCATCTTCCTGTCAGCTCATCTCTTCCTCTCTTCTTATAAACTTGTATGAAATGGGTATTCGAATCATGTGCCTTCTGGCAAGGAGTCAGTTAGTCTGTACTCCAACAAGGGAACAACCTGATGGCTGGACTGGAGAGGACAAAAATTGACTGGGACTAATTTAGTCTCCTTAGCTTCTTAGTCTTTAGTCCAAGCTCCACATCAGGTGTGAATCAGTTTGGTCTCTGTCTGTTTCTCTCCCTCCCTCCCTCCCTTCCTTTCTCCTTCATTTTAAAAATTCTCTGAGGCATACTATTTGAGATCTGATAGAACAAAATGAATTGCATTTTTGGTAATGATCATATTTAGTAAAATAGCTGTGCTTCCAGTGCAGGAGTGAACGAACCCACTGTCTTTTCTCTGTAGAAAAAGCTTAGCCACTTGCTAGCTTAGAGGAAACAACCTTATAACAAATGTGGATGGAAGGAAAGACTGGGTCCATGTTAGGTGTGCCTTGCCCTTGCTCCAGTTTTCTCTTATATGCAGGGAATCATAAGTTCCAGCTCAGTAGGTTACATTGTCTTCTTCTTCACTAGGAGCATCACTACACCTCCAGGTATTAGATGCTCTTGTGTAAATGAGAAAAATGAAGGTGGTCAGCTTGTCCTAAATAAGGTTTATTGTGAAATCAATTCAAAAAATCCAGTAAGTAGGAGTGATGTCTATTGATGATGAATTAATTAATTGGGTTATCTAAGGTAAAATTAAGGTGCTGAAGTAGTAAGTACAATCAAGAAAACAGAAGCCTAGAAGGACCTCACGTGTGTTCTGGTCCCTAAAAAGAATTACCATTGAAAAGAAACATCCAAAGAACTTCAACCCAATAGCATTTTAGCCCTTGTTTGGGGGCAGCTGTACTTTGGTAGAGGGAGCACTGTTCTTGGACATGGAAGACCTGTGCCCTAGTCTCTGTTCCGTGGCTTTCATCTTAAAGCTTCCCTCTGGACATTAAAGAGTTGGTATACAAGGCATGATAGGCAAATGTTTAAAATTTTAAAATGCATTACCGTAAAAGACATTGCCATTAATCACACTCAAAATATTCTTCATCTCTTCTTCAAACACACATCCCATTGTTCTTCTCACTTTCTAAAGCAGTTCTAGAAGTCCACCTTCCTGTCTTTATGAGGTATGATAAAAAAAAATGCAGTGAATGCTATTCCTGAGTGCCATCCAAAGGAAAGGCAGACTCTTAAAAACATTATGGAGTCGGGGATTTAGCTCAGTGGTTCCACTGCCCTCCTTGAAAGCGCAAGGTCCCGAGTTTGATCCCCGGTACCAAAAACAAAAACAAAAACAAAAAACATTATGGTCATGTCCTGAACTGCTTTATTCACCAGCTGTGGCACCAAAGGACTTCTGGCTCTTCCCCAAAGTCAAAATGAATACCAAAGGTAAAGATTTTTAATCAATTCAGGACATCAAGGCAGCCATAACAGTGCAACTAAAGACACTCATGAAAGAAGACTTCCAGAACTGCTTCAGAAAGTGGCAAGAATGCTGGGATGAGTGTGTTTGAAGCAAGGAGCTGTATCTTGAAAGATTAATAGCAATGTGTCTTTTACTGTAAAACTTTTTAAAAATTTAAAAATATACTTTATTTTTTATCATATCTTATAAGATTAAATGATTTTGGTTTATGTTAAAGCACTTGTGATTTTGCCCCTGAAGGACATTTCACAAAGTCCAGCTACTTGGACTGAGCAGCTACTGTACCCTCTGGCTCTCCAGCTTGTAGACAGCCATTGTGAACTATCCTGCCTCTGATCCTGTAAGCTCATCTAATAAATCATCTGTGTGATTACATATTATTATTTTTCTATTAATTTCAATCCTCTAGGGAACCCTAATCAATATTCTATGCACGTAAATAATAAATGAATGGTTACTCTTCTGTACAACATTTTACTGTGAAACTTTTCAAATGTACAGAAAAAAGTCATACAGTGAGCACCATATCCTTACCACCTAGTTTTATTATTTTAATGTAATACAAGTAAATATTAATAAAAAAATTTTAAAAAGCACTCTTCTTATTTCTATGAAAAAATAAACAAAATTTCATAACAATAATTAAAGGATAGCAATAGTTAATACACTGCTTATCATACTCTTTTTTGTTTTTTCTGGTCCCAGGGATCGAACTCAGGACCTTGAACTTGTGAGGCAGACATGGGCATCACTGGGCTAAATCCCTAGTCCCTGCATATCATAATTTTAAAAGATGGCCAAAATGTTACTCAGAGTAGAAGCCATAGAAAAAAAAGACTGGAAACATTAAGCATATGCTTTATCAGAGATCTAGCCATTACTCACCTACTCACTAGTCCATCTTTATTGTTATGCAGTTCAATCTGAAGTGCAGACATCAGAACATTTCTGAAACACTTTGGTTGATCATTTAGGGTCTCTATTTTAGGAACAATTTTTATCTGGATGTTTTGTGTTTGCATGAACACACCCATGTGTATATTTTAGATGCAGCTTTTATGCTTGAGCTCACACATTTTGGAGTCTGAAATGGTTAACTAGTAATTCCACTGTACTTCTATTAGCAGGACTGATGCTTAATGATGTTATGTAGGAACTGTTGTAGGCTGGCAGTGAAGTGGGTGAAAGTGAGAAAGATTTAAGAACCAGAATATATTTTATCCCAGATTCAAATTAAGGAGTTGGTCTTTCTGCCTAAAGTTGCAGAATTAAAAACAACCCTTTCATGGACACAGTGAGAATGCAGAATGCTGAATGGGAGGGACACAAGGAAGAAGAACTCAGCATTTACTGAGCAGATAAGAAAGTGAGTAGATTAAGGAAACATGGAAGGCTGAAGGGCTGAAGGACCACACAGTCAGATAAGCCATTATTGTGGTAATTGGTGGTAAATATTTTGTTGGTTGTGTTGGAGGAAAGCAAAGTCTTCATTATGTAGTAAGTGTGTACAGTCACATACTGATGGTATTGTCACGCATTGTGCCACACAGAAAGCTAAGTGCTTTGCCACAATATTTGTTTCAGAAAAAAGAAAAGCCAAATTATGATGTAGGCACAGATGAGGAAATTGAGGTTTAGAGAGATCTTATGTCTCAAAAAGCACACTGTTAGGAAGTGACAGAACCAAGACTTGCACCCTGGCCTGTCTTGTTTCAAATATATTCTCCTAACCACATGTTTTACTATGAATCCTCTAAAACTTTGCAGTATCAGAAACAAGAGTTTTGGTAACGAGATATATCCAGGAGCAGCTATAAAATTTTTGAGACTCTGTGCAAACTGAAAATATAAGGTTCATTTTCCAAAGATTATTAAGAATTTTAAGATAGCAACAACAGGGCATTACATAAATTAAAGGGCCCTCTTGCACTTGGGCCATGTGACTATACTGGGCAGATGCTCAGAAGGCTGGACTTGGGTGTGCCTTTGCAGTGTGGAACTGAGATGCACAGATCATCTACAGAATGTGAGCTAGACTAGAGAAGAGGAATCTAGTGTGGACCACACTAGAGAACATGTGGTTGCCCCATCAACCTATTTAGTCAGTTCAAACTGTAAATTTATACAGGAAACACACCATACTGTATTTGTACTTTGTGGCTTGTAGATTATATACCAAATGTATACTGAACTCAATGGTTGGTGGTGTTCAACCTCTCGGGACTTGTCATAAAGTTTGCAGGTTAAACAACTACTCCAGGGTCGTTGGAGCAAGTTCTCTAGACTGTCCCTGTTGACCACTGCTGTCAAGATTCTAGTGTCCCAGTGGGTGAGAATACATAGGCCTCCCTGCCCCACTCCCATGCCTCTCCAGTACTCCCCACAGATGTGACTTTTGCCAGCTATGCTACGTGATTTCAGTTCTAGAGGAAGCTATATGTATCATGTATGACTTACATATAAGTTCCTGCATCTCACACACACCCTCAATCACAGTCCTGATTTTTTGTTTGTGCAGAAGGGATTTAAGGATAGATGAAAGGTAGGGAAGTCTTTGCATGATGTATGTAAATAGACACACCTCTTCCTAGACAAGGAGTGGTAAAGCTCTCAAACTGGTGTTCAAACTGCTTTTGTCTGCTGCCTCATACCCTCTTTGTTTGCCCCTTTTTCCTTGCCATGAAGCCTCTGCATGGAGCGCGTGTTTTTAGTCCCATGATTCCTCACGTCTTTCAGATTGACCCATTTTTCTTTCTTTTCTTTTCTTTTTTTTGTTAACGGGGATCAAACTCAGGACCTTGTGCTTTTGAGGCAGGCAGCAGAAACACTGAGCTACATCCCCAGCCCAAGATTGACCCATTTTCTGTCAAGTCCAGACCTAACTTTGATCTTTCTTTTTAACAAGTCTTAGTGGACCTTCCTCTTTCTCTCAGTGTTGCCCTATACAAATAGCCAGAAGAAAATGAATCCCATGTATTAATTTAACTAAGATTAATAGCTAATACTACTTTAATAGATCACGCTCACACTTCAATGTCCTCATTCAGTGACGAGTAATGAGGGAACATGACACACTTAGGCTGAAACTTTGCAAGAGATATCTCCAATTGAGGGGGATATTCTAGCTGCTTTTAATTTACACAAACAATATTGTAAATATCTCAATGCAGGGGCAAGTTCTGCTTTCTGTGAAGAAAGTGAGAAAACAATGGGTAGTACACACTTATTCACTGTTAAAAGAAAACTTAAAAATATAATTTTTGCTTATTAAATGTTAAAGCTAATGAATGCCATTGGTAATGAGGTGAAATTGATACTCATACAGTGCAAGAGGATAAATTGGTGCATACTTTCTGAAGGGTAATCTAATAGTTCGTTGGCAAAGATTATATACACATATACACACACATTCACACAAGTACACATGAAATAAAATATCTGAAGGACTTATTTGAAAGTTGACAATGTCCTGTGTGGCCTGGCTCTGCCTACCTCTGCAGTCCCATGTCCCACCCTCTCCTTTCTGGTCTGTGAGGTTGCTCACAATAGCTTCTCTCAGTTCTTCAATACACTTCATGTTGCCCCTTGCCAAGGAGCTTCTTGCATGTTACTCTTATCCATTCTGCCTAGCTGGCTCTCTATTCTTCTACTGCTCAGCTCTCAGTCTAAGAGTTACCTTCCCAGGAGGACTTCTCAGGGTACTACACCTCCCACATCCCCCCTCCCCCAGCCTGGCCAGCTTCCTGCTTTTAGAGATGTCATTCCTTTCCCTGTGGTACTTACCCTAGGAGGTGAAGATCTGCCCCTGTGTGATTACAGTATTTGTCTTCTTCCACTCAGTACAAGTTCAAAGAAAGCAGGTTCGTGTTGACCGTTCCATCTCCTGTGCCTGGAAAAGAGTCTGGAATTTAGAAGGAGCTCCCAAAATACTTGGTAATTAAATAAATGGTGGCATTATCATAAATGTTTATTTTTTTCTTTATGCTTTCTTGTGCTTTTCAGATTATAATGGTCATGTGATACTTTTATAATAAAATTCATTTAAAAATACTTTTCTTTCCCTTGGAGGCTGCAGCTGTTCTCCACAGAAACAGAGCCTGCTGCTTTTGGCTCTGATTGCTTTGACTGCTAGTGTTCTAGGCTCATTTATGCCCTGGAACATGATTATGCTGCATTGTCTGGAATTCTGCCCCAGGTGGGAACATTCTTCCCTGGCCATCATCTTTGGTTTGTTCACCACAAAGCAGGTAACTTGGAAACCTGCTGTAATTTCTCTCTTGCTCTCAAGGGTGCAGCCTGGTGGCTTTTGTGATTCAATAAATGACCCTATGACAAAGGAACACAACAGGCTTCTTTTTACCAGCTAATGACAAGTCAGTAGGATTTTACTAAATGCAAGTCCTGCTGTTCTGTCTGAGGCTGTATCTTTTGGCATGAATCCTTTACACTTCACTACACTCTACTCCTCTGTATTTGAGAGAACTATAACCACTATCACTTTCCCTGTGGAGTCAAACCTAAGCCTTTTCAGGGAATTAATACACATGATTTCATAGTTCCAGTTTGAGATTTAAGTTCTTGCTTTTTTTGTGTACATAATGACAACATAAACGCAATTATGTTGGAGCTAAGTGAAAATAATCTCTCCATATGGTGCTTCAGGTGGCAATTAAGATATTTTTAAGATTTTGGTGGACAAGTTTAAAAAATCTTGTCAGTCTGCAAACATTTTTAGCAGCCTTGACAATATTCACCTACATACACACCGCAGTATTACCAGGATAATTTGTCATCTCAAATCCTCTTTGGAATAAGGTGAGAATAAATAAATATGAATGATCCATCAGAAGAGAAAGAGTCCCCTCAATGCAAAGAGATATTATTCTGATGGGTCAAGGAAGTATTTTCAATTTTTGTTTAAATTCTGATTTTTACATGGCCCCATTTACCTTTTGTCAGGCTGTGAACCCACATAAAGTGGTTGTTGCAGTACAATGCACTGTTTTGTCCAAGATCCTTAGATATGTTTCAGAAATCAGCTTTTTGATGCCATTTTTAGACAATTTGAGAGATGATGAGTAGCTATTGATCCACAGAACAGGATCTATATTGGGGTGAAGCAGCAGTAGGCAAGTTGCATTTATCTGGTGTTGAGAAGAAAAGTTGATTATCCACCTGAGGGCAAATGAGGTGGAAACATCTTGGAGATTAGGTTTGTTCCCAGTGTCCTACATTTCAGAGGGATGTGATCATTGGTTTCATGTTTAATGTTTCCTATGGATACTGTTTCCCTCCCATCGATAGTTTATATTTGGATTGACACAATGTAAAATCTATTTTGGAGAATGTTGCATGTGTAAGTTTAACTTGGAACAAAGAAAAATGTGAACATTAGTGGTCCTGCGTGTGGCAGGTACTTTGGGATGATCTTGTCATTCCCAGTCAGTGACAAATGAGGAAACAGGTCTAGATTGGTTAAGGTAATTTGTCCAAATAACTAGTTAATGGAAAGGAATATTAGGTCGTTTCTAGAAATTTTTGTTATTTGTCAGAGGTCATCCTTCTGTAGGACAGATCAAGTCCACTTCCTGGTGATGGCTTCATGTCACCCTTCCCTTCATACTTCCCAGTATTCACTGTCAGGGCCTAGTTACTCTGGCCCATCTCTCTGACATCCATGCACCAATTCCAGAGTCTTCTTCCCTAGCATGAGTCATTGGTAGAAGAAACTCTTGTTCCTGACTGGTCACATAATAGGAAAATGGGACTCTGAGGTGCAGACTATGTCACTGTCACTTCCCATTCTTTTCCTCCCCTCCTGGATTTGCAGTCCTTTCATATGGAGCCATCCAAATATTTGTGTTCTTTTCTTTTGTTTTTCTGCTTGTTTTTTGACCACTTCTGATTTTCCTAGGTCATGCCTTCAAGTCACCCATCCTTCTCAGGGAAGGACAGTGATTTAACTATGGATAATATGCAAGGTATTTTGGGAGAAGAAGAAAAACTAGACAATCCTTTCCCCTGGATTGCTCTGAATGTGCAGTAGGAAGCAATTATGTCTGGAGTCCTCAATGAAGGATGATGGTCATAAGAGGTGAGCACAGAATTGGAAATTAATTTGGACAGGGAATGCATCATGGAGGAAGTGGCATTTGAACTGGAATTTAATGGTAGGAGGGCTTATTTATATTATTTTTTTGAAGAAAGTATTTTGTGGTTGAACTATTGGCTTTCACTTTCTGTAAAGGTCACTGTAATAGGACCTAGAAGCTTCAACTATATTATAAGCTACATCTGAGTCTAAAGCCTAGTCTTAAATATCTTTCTCTTCATAGGAAAAAGATGGTTTAATCTTTCGAGAAAAGTTAAAGCATTAGTGATCTGTGGGCAGCAGGGTTACTTACAGATGGACATAATGATAGGGCATAAGTGTGTTTGTTCACCACAGATGTTCTCCTGCCTCCCTCTCCCTTCTTCTCTTTATTGCTAAATATGCAACCTCAAGTGAGTTACTGTCCTATTTAATCTCAGTTGTTTCATATGCAAATTGGGATAATACTTACCCTGCTCCTTAGTTGTGAAGATGAGTAATTATGTTGTTAAAGTGATCTCTTCAAGTCTGGTCTAGATAGACTGTCTTCAGTAGACTTCATTGAAGCCAGGAAATGAGTTTTACTGAACTGAATATCCCCAGATTCTAGTACATTAGGCACTTAATAATTGTTTATTAAATGGGGGACATATAAGGGTTTACAATCACCAATTTGTTAATTAGTACATATCATTATATTGATCTATAACCTTTGAACTCCTCTGTATTTTGTCTTGTTTGGCTCTTTGAGAAAATATTTTTCCTCCATTCTCTTTAAACTCCTTGCTATAGTGTGGATTTTAAACATCCTCCAATGGTCCAGATATGGGTTTGGTTTCCAGCCTGTGGCACTGCTGGAAGGTGGTAGAACCTGCAGGAAGTAGAGCCTTCTGGAAGGAAGTTAGGTCATAGAGGTGTGCTTTCCACAGGGTAATGGGAACCTGGACCCTGCTCATCTCTGGATTTCCCAGCTACCATAAGGTAAGCAGCCATCTCTACCACATGCTCCTGTCATGGTGATTAGCCTCACCACAGGTCCAGAGAAACAACCATAGATGGAAATATCTGAAACCATGAGCTACAATAAGCCTTTCCTCCCTTTAAGGTGATGTTATCTGGTATTTTGTCACGGTAACAGAAAGCTAACCATCCTCCACCAAACTTAGAGCAAATACAATATTTCTGGGTTTGACTAAAGGTCAGAATAGAATTTAGAAATCTCTTAAGAGAGCTGTTAAAACAATGATGAAATAAGACTTTGGGTTATGATCACTCCCTTTTCCTTTCTAGGACTAAACTCTCATGACCATGATATCACTATATTTTGTTGGCATACTTTAAGAGCTTCCTACATAAATTAAAATGTAGCTATGCTCAAATCCTGGAAAAATTCCTTCTTCTTGATTAATATTAAATCCTGGCACCCTTCTATGAGCAAAACAAATTTGCAATTGCTCCTAACACATTTCGGAGGCGATGCTTCAGTCTTGAAAGTGCTTTCAGGCTGCACTTTTAAAGTCAGTAATATGGGAACTGGGTCTCTCCAGGACAGTTTTTTATGTGAAAAGAAAAAGCACCTTTGTAAAGGTTGTTAATGCTTTTTTTTCCCCTTCTAATTTATGGTGATGAGTTTAAACTTAAGTATTGGCCTAATTCTATTTATATGACCCAGAGAGACCCCTGGGAGCCTGTTTCTTCATGTACAAGTGGAGTTTACACAGAGTGGCTATGAGGATTAAAGGAGATAATGTATATAAAGTGCCTATCAGCATTTAGCTAACAAGTAAGACTAGACTAAGAATTTTCACAAACTATCATTTCTAGAAAATGTTGTGAGGGAATAATCACTCTAAACTCAATTTTTTGTATCATTTGAAACAGAATCTATTCAGAATTCTGATCTTAAGTACCAGATAGGTCACAGATTTTGTATTTGAGGGAGCAGATTAAAGGCAATGCTCTTTCTTGCCTACCTAGTTGGAAAAGACACCCAAATCACATACCAAATCTCAATGTCATTAAGCTCTCGAATCCTCTTATGAAAAAGGTTAATGATTACAACTGTAATCATTAGTAGTTAGTATTTGGGGCAAAACTGTATCTGTTTATCAAGGTCCATTATGATTCACCAGTGGATAAATAATGATAACAAGACCCTGAGTTCTTTTCGAACAAGACCCTGAGTGATTTTTCGAACAAGCAGGCAAGCGAGGGCCCTTAATATCCGGACTCAATCTTTCCCACAAAGCCAAAGTCTTTGATCATTTTTCTGTGCAAACCGATTTAGCTTTTAATTAAAAGCAGTCAAACTAGTTTACCTGTGGCCCAGCAGTCCTGATTTAAGGGCTGTTTGGAGGGGGCCTAAAAGGTGAGCTGAAAATTGAAGGTGGGAGGCCTTGTATTTCTGGAGCTTTCCTCCTCTGCTAGCTGGAGCACTGCACGGTGGAGAACAGCCAGGCTGAGAGAGCGTGGGGGAGGCACTGGAAATCAGGGAGTCTCCCCTTGCTTCGAACCAGTGCAGCGCGTGTGCTCCAACAAGGCTCGGAAGCGGACCCTGCCCGCTGCCCTGCTAGCCCCGGCATCTCCACCTGCACCTCAGCTGCCCGAAGCAGGCCGCATCCAGTGAGCGTTCCGCGCCTCCGCCAGGCCCAGGAGCTCGGCTGGTGATTGGGAGCCGGAGCCTCCCGCCCCGCCTTGCCGTCCTACAGCCCGAGGAGCCGCTGCAGTTTTCCATTGGTCAGGTTCCCTGCCAATCAGTTTACTGCTCGACTCCCCCAAACAGCCCGTTGAGAGGGAGCGTGCTAGGGAGGCGGGGCCTCTGGCTGGGGGCGGGGCCTCGGCGAAGGACTGCTTAGCGGCAGCTTTGGGCTTGAGCTATTGCTCTGGACTGGAGCGCAGCATCCTCGCTACAGGCACTTGGGCTGTAGCACCTGGTCAGGTAAAGAGAGCCTTGTATTCCTCCTGACCGCCTGCCCCACCTCTTCCCCATCAAAGGCTGCCTGCTCCGCTTCCCCTAGCTTCAGGGTTCGGGTCAAATCTCTTCAGCCCTGCTGCTACCTTATCTTCCCTCTACGTTGGCTCCTCCAGCAGCAACCAATCTGCTCCGAAGTGCGTTGGTGGCCCCCGGGTCACTCCAGCTCTCCCCACTATAGACCTCCTGTGGTTAACCCTCAGGGCCTTGGCCTCATGCCCCGCCAGTGCAGACTCATCCCAGCCTGGCACAGGAAAGGTGGAAGGGACGGGGAGGGAGGGATGCAGCTCTCTATTTTGAAGCTGGAGGTGCTTAGCCAGGACCAGGAGCACTGCAGTGGGTTTGGATAAGGATGGAAGCGCCCTCAAGATGATGATTGTCTGGGACTAGGAGGGTATCTATTGCTGCTTTGTGCTTGTGTTATAGGTGGCATTCACCAACACCTTTTGCTTTTCTGTTACCTTTATCTTCATCCTCATCACCACGACCACCAGCATCAACAGCATCTCTCTTCTTTCATCAGAGTTCTTCAAGTTCTGTAAAGGCAGACTGTGTTCAGGCATGTAAGTGTTGCCTTCCCCCAAATAGCAAGCAATGCCCTTGCTTCCTGAGACCACAGCCAAGCCCTCTTTTGATCCAAGGACAAGTGGGGTGGGGGGACACTATGAAAACGAATGAGAATGAATGGTGGGGTGAGAATGAGTTGTAGTGGGGTGGCCCTTAATCCTCATTTGTAGTAGAAATTGCCAAAGAAACCCTTTGTTTTAATCATCCATATTTGCTGATTCCTGTAGAGTTTGACATCGGCACTCACACACTCGGGATGGGCTGAATGCAGAGTCTGGGACCAGCGTTTTAGACTTGTACAATCTTAGTATTTCAGTAATGGAGAGATGAATATTTAGACTCAATCCTTTATGAGAATCATAGTGGCTACAGTTATACTAAAGCATGTTTACTGTCCATGTTTGTGTATGTGGTGTGTGTCATCATGTGTGGTGTCATCTTTGGGAATCTTACCTCTTGGGAGAGAGAATTACATTGTTTTATCTACATCAGGTAGTATCATATAGGTATATCACTGAGATCCAGCAGTCTTAACTGTTTCTGGGGAGTACTGCAAGAACTCTTCATCCTCAAACTTATTAGTGCTCTTTCAGGGGGGAAAAATAAAGCTGAAAATTATGTACTAGATTAATTGTCACTGTGGAAAATGTTGCTTTACAAGTATTCTGTAAATCACAGGTCTCTTTATTTAGAGACATCTAAACATTAATCTCTTTCTCTCAGTGGTGTTAAGAGATCCATAACAGTACCATACAAATACAGCATTTGTAGACATACTGCAGGAACTATGAAGCTGTGGCCTCCCTGGAGCGAAACAATGAGTAATAACTGAGAGGCAGTGTATCACAATGGTTAAACTCAGATAGCTTCAAATCCTACACCAGCCTCTTACTACCTGAGTAATTTTGGCAAATTACTTACCCTCTTGATCTTTAGTATTTGATCTATAAAATAAGCATAATATTACCTGCTCATAAGAAAAGTTATGAAGATGAAAGGAAATAATATATGTAAAATGCTTAGTAATTTCTGCCAAATAATAAATAGAGAATTAATGTTAACTAGTCAACAAGTATAATAAAGGCTCTAAAAAGTGCATTCTTTCCCACTAACTTTCTCTGTCCTTTTTAGATCTCAGAGCTGATGCTAATGGGGGCTAGTAGTCTTCAGGTTCCTCTAGGGTTTACATATTAGAAGGATGTCACTGATTGTAGCGCTCTGTGTTTGGACTGACATTTCTCTCACCAGCCTGTGCAAATGCTTAGCAAGCTGTCAGTTAAGATGCATTAAAGACAGCTTTAGAGAAGGTTTCTGGGCCTCTGGGCCTGTCCTTGGCTATTCCTTTCTCGCTGACTGTTCACTGCACTGACTCGATAAACTGTGCTTCTTACGGAATCATTAGTGAATGCGTTGGCTTCTGCCCAAAGGTAGCTAAATTGCTTTTCTTCAGTTGTCCTTGGGAACTGAAGAAACTCTAACCTGCCAACATGTGATAACTTGCGTTTTACATTCTTTTTCTTCCCTAAGAATATTTTCTTGTTCATATTGAAAACAGAAAGCAATCATAGAATATCTATGTAGTTCAGTTTTCTTTCAGGAAGGGAGGTTAGCAGTTTTATGTGATTTGGAAGGAATATTTTGAAATTTAGAGTACCTTGTCAGTTATATTAGTTAGAATCCCTTCCATTGTATGGGATAGAAATCCAGCAGGAAAAAAAAATCTTAAGCAGAAATGAGCATTTTTTACTGGAGTGAGTAGGTTTTGCTGAGGATGCTGGTCTACCCCCAGGTGGATCCCAATGTTCTATCATTCAGAGGCTTTCAGGGTTGCAAGGTGTTCTCTGATTCTTTGTCTCTCGATATTCTGGCTATCTTTTTTTGTTTTTCTGTCTTTCAGTTCTGTTCTTGCTTCTCTTGGTTTTTTTTTTTTTTTCTTCAATAATGAGGATTGAACCCAGGGCTTTCATACTGAGCTACATCTCCAACTCTTTATTTTTATTTTTTTATTTTGGACAGAGTCTCACTAATTTGCTAAGTTGCTCAGCCTGGGCTTAAACTCGTGATCCTCCTGGCTCAGCCTCCCAGAGTGTTGTGATTACAGCTCTGCACCACCTCACTCTGCTGATCTTATGCCCTCATAACCTCTAAATTCACATCTTTTTAGCTTTGTAACCCAAGGACATCTCTATTCTTCTCTAACTCCAAAGTAAAAGTTCCCCGGGAAGATCTGTGATTGATGAGGCCTTTGTCCTGGGTGTGACCTCCCTAGACTAAATGCTTCAGGCAAGGGAATGAGGTCCTGCAGGTCCTATGATTATCTGAGAGTGGGTTTCATATCTTGCTTTTCCTTCCTATGTGGATGTGAAATTGGTGGACCTGTCCCCTCAAAGGGGAAT